ACTTCTTATACGGTTCTAAAGGGGGGAAATCAGAGCAAATCGCGGCAGCTTAGCTTCCTTGACGTGTCCCCAGTTGTTACCTTGGACCACTTCACAGCAGAACTGTCTACGTCAACCAAAAACCAAGGGTTAGTGCCACTGCTCACTCACACTGCTTCCTTCTGCTCACGTGTGTTCCTGTGACTGAAATCACCCCCTTTTAACTGTGGGCACCCTAGTCTACAGTATCACCTCTCCCCAGGGAACCACCCGTTAGGGAATATCACTTTAAGGTGTGTTACTTTTGTTTATGCTGCATTTGTCTAACCCTGTGAAGCTGTGTTACTTTGCCTGTCTAAAACACCTGATGGTCTAATAAAGAGCTGAGCGGCCAATAGTGAAGCAGGAGAAAGGATGGGCAGGGCTGGAGAGCAGAGAGAATAGATAGAGGGAGAAAGCTGGGAAGAGGAAAAGAGATGGAGAAGAAGGAGCAAGAGAAAGAGGAGGACTCCAGGGGCCAGCCACCCAGCTACCCAGCCACCCAGCAAGCCATGGAGTGAGATTTACAGAAATAACAGAACAGGAAAAGCCCAGAGGCAAAAGGTAGACAGGATAATTTAAAGTTAAGTAAAGCTGACTAGAAATAAGCCAAGCTAAGGCCAGGCATTCATAATTAAGAATAAGCCTCTGCATGTGATTCATTTGGGAGCTGGGTGGTGGGTCCCCAAGAAAGAGTAAAAGCCCCAACAACACACCTCCTCTCATAGAATCACCTTTACTGTTGAAATCACACGCTTCCCACGGCATCTGGCTCTTCCTTGGGAATTGGCCCCCCCCATTGGAATTGTCTCTCTCCACCTGGAGTCAATCCCCTCTCCCTGGAATCACCCCTTCTCATCAGCTCCTGCTGACGACCATACATCCTTCCTCATTCTGGAAAACAACTTCCAACAGATGGACCAGACCCTCTTAAGTCCTTTCTACCTTGTCTTTGTCTACAGAAGTCTTCCTGTTGCCTCCTGACTTCTCCATTTCTTTCTGCTTTCCGATACCCTACAATCCACCTCTACAAGCCAGGCGGTCTGACAGACTCAGGACCACGCCTCCTCCTTCCTTCCTTGGCTCACTAGAGCCCAGCCCCCTTTTGAATGACCCCTCAAGTTCCCTATCATCCCTGCCATCCGCCTCCTGCATTGCAACAGCGTTTCTACTACACTTTTTAAAAGTTGCACTGGGTGTTGACCGAAGGCCGCGAACATACTAGGCTAACACTCTGTCACCGCCATTCTTATTTTTCACATTGAGACAGGCCTTACTAAGTTGTTGGCCTTGCATGGTTAGCCATGGCACAAGCCCCCAAGGCTGGTCTCACACTCGCTCTACAGCCCAGGCAAGCCTTGAACTTGTGACCCCCATACCTCAGCTTCTGGAAAAAGCGCAATCATACACCCACACTTCCAGACCCAGTTCCTGTTGCTCATTTATCACTGTCTTCCACTTCTTCAGGCCAGCAGACCACACAGCCGCAGACCTTTGGCTGTGGCTGTAGAGCAAAGAGTATGAGCTTCAACACCAATCCCCGTGGCCTGGCACAGAGGCTTCCCATGTGCCTCTTAGGAGGCTGGCTTCCCAGGACAAGTCCAGCAAGCAGGCCAGGAATGAAGAAGGGGAGCCTGGACTCCAGGCTCTACACTACTTTACATCGTCCTCTGCTTCAGCATCCACTCTGAAGTGTGAACAGCAGCAGTAGCCACCCTTAAGGTGTGCTTTAAAGAAGGCTTGAAAGTATTCTCCCACCATGATGGTCCGGGGGTCACTGCCAACTGAGTCAGCCTAGTTCCCTCATCTTGCCCTGCCCTGAGCTCTGGGCCTCTCAGCACCAGGCAGGTCTCCAAGAGAAACCTTGCCCTGAAGGAAGATGCCATCTGCCAAATGTCTCCTGGGGCCCCAGCAGCCCCAGCCAGCACACGGCACCGGCCTTTTGCTCGGCAGGAGTCTAATTTGTATGTCGTTCTTTAAAAAGGGGGTCTCCATATGTAGTCCTCCTGGCTGTCCTGGAACTCACAGAAGTCCACCGCTCTGGCCCTTCTTCGTACACTTTTCATTGGTATCCCCAAGCTTCCCTCTTTCTTGATTTGAAAAACCTACTTTCCTCATCCAGTTCTTATTTTTGTACTGAGGGAAAAGTAGGGGAAAGAAACATGAATGGACTTAAGACCCGTTCCCAGGTCCCACTCTGTGATATGGGGGGCGGGGGGGGGGGACGACGACAGTTAAGCTCAGCAAGGGCTCAGGATTGGTGCAGCCCAGAAACTGGACGGTGGCCCCGTGGGGACAAAGCTGGGGACGGGACTGGGGAGTGCGAAGTGGGCAGAGTGGGGTGAGAGAAAGCCTGAGTCACTGTAAACCCGCTTTGGTTCTTCTAACAAGGCTTCCTTCACGAGTCTACCTGGGGTGACGCAACTGTCACAGGTATTTTGAAAAACATCCTCATTTCGAAACAAGGAAGGTGGGGGTTACAGAAACGACGTTTTGTGTATTGAGTGGGTCAAGTTACAATGTCAGGCATGATGCCGTGTAGGGCAGAGATTTCAACACAGTGCCCTCCCTAGGAGACTGCCTCAACCCAGACCCTCTGATTTTTAGTTTGCCGTTAACTATTAGAGGGGAAAACATTGCTAAGCGTTCATTATTTCCTTGATTAGGGTTGATGTGGACATCAAAGCCAGGTGCCTGGCTGAGTGGGGGAGAAAGTCCTTGGACCTGTCTAGAGATGGCTCGGAATCCATCCCTTCTCCAGGCCCACGTTTTTCTCTAAGAAAAGCTGGAAGGGCCATGCAGTGGTGGTGCATGCCTTTAATCCCAGCACTTGGGAGGCAGAGGCAGGTGGAGCTCTGTGAGTTCGAGGTCAGTCTGGGCTACAGAGTGAGCTCCAGGAGAGGCTCCAAAGCTACACAGAGAAACCCTGTCTCGAAAAACAACAACAACAAAACAAACAAACAAAAAAACAAAAGAAAAGCGGGAAGGACAGTGACTCCAGCAAGCCCAAGAAAGGAGGGCAACCAATCCAGAATGGGGAGACAGATGTAGCGCTCTGGCCAAAGGAAGGGACTGGTTCAAACACAGAGAGGGTGGAGCCACTTGCTTATTGCAGGGGGAGTGATGTGCATTCAGCTTTGCAAGGGACAGGAAATCGGGCATTGCTGTCAGGGTAACAAGGGTCAGGTGGTCAGGCAGACAGCCCTCCTGGTTTAGGAAGGGAAGCAGCTTCAATGCTGCTCTGTGTTCGGATCTCCCATGATCTGCTTTAGGGTCCCCTCCAACATGAGCAGTGACATTACAGGTTACTTTCAGACCCAAGTCTCTGGCCACTCTCCAGATCCACATCTTCAGATTCATTCACAGATTCCAATCTGCCCCACACTTCCCTCTCCCTGTAAGTCCTGTGGTATTCTCTATGTGTGCTCTTCCTTCAAGTAGGTGTGCCCCTCCATGTCTTAAAGAACCCATGACCTGCTCTCATTTGGGACAGGGGACTGCAGGTCAACTATGCTAATTTTCAAAATGACTTGTTCAAAAACACCACTTCTGTGTTTAAAAGCCTCACTATCAACCAGGTGCTGTGGCGCACACCTTTATTCCCAGCACTTAGAGGCAGAGGCGGGTGGAACTCTGAGTCCCAGGCCAGCTTGGTCTACATAGTGAGTTCCAGGCCAACCAGAGCTATGTAGAGAGACCCTGTCTCAAAACCAAACCAAAACAAACCAAACCAAACCAAACCAAACAAAAATGTGTCATGAGAGATGGCTCACTAGTTAAGAGCACTGACTGCTCTTCCTGAAGACCTGGGTTCAATTCCCAGCATCCACATGGTGGCTCATAATCATCTCTAACTCCAGTTCCAGGGGATTCAGCATCCTCTTCTGGTCTACTGGGTACCAGGCATGCATGTGGGGCACAAACATACATGAATGTAAAATACACATAAAAAAGTTTAAAATCCTCAACATCAAATAATTAAAATGGATGCAGACTCAGTATATAACCAAGAGTCACCATCTATTTGTGTATCTGAGCCCACATCCTTCCAAACACTCTCCGAGAAAGCGGCTCAGGACCCTCCTTACCTTCCTGCTCTCATCCCCTGCCACTTTTCCTGAGGGGGATAAGGTCTAAGGACACCAAGGCACTGGGCTGGGTGTACAGTGGCCCTGCAATGTCAGCACTTGGTGGAGGCTGGACGATCAGGAGTTCAAGATCAGCCTCAGCTACATACATGGAGTTTAAAGCCAGTCTGGGCTTCACGAGACCCTCCCTATCTTTACAAAGAAAAAGACTAAGGCACTAGTCGAGAAGCCCAAGTAAATTGTTGAAAATTCTGAGTCAGGACATCATCAGCCACCAAATACATTTTATGGCTGGACATGAATGGCACCCAGGAGTCAGACCTCTGTAAGTTCGAGGCCAGCCTGGTCTTGTATCAATCTGTAGACCTTCCAGAGATACACCTGTCTCAGGAAAAAAAAAAAGAGAAAGAGAGATCTGCCTGCCTCTGCCTTCCAAGTGCCAGGATGGATTAAAGGTGTGTGCTACCACCACCTGGCAATAAAATCATTTTTTAATTAAGATATCTCCCTCCCAAGCAGAGAAAGTGGCTCTATCTTGGGCAGCCTGGAAGCATCTATGGATCAGACTGGGTATGATGCTTTCAGGAAGCATCTATGGATCAGACTGGGTATGATGCTTTCAGGAAGCATCTATTGATGACTGGGTATGATGCTTTCAGGAAGCATCTATTCATGACTGGGTATGATGCTTTCAGGAAGCATCTATTGATGACTGGGTATGATGCTTTCAGGAAGCATCTATTGATGACTGGGGCATGACGGCTACACCTGATGAGCTTGAAGCCAGGATGGTTCTGGACCATCCCTGCATCCTGGGTCAGAGGAGGAACAGAACGCTCATCTGTGTGCTCGTGTACACACACTCACATAACACACCCTACCCACCACGCTTACCTGTCTTCAAAGCACACTGTGCACTTCCACGTGCGAGTCCTCCGCAGGAATATGCGGCACTCGGAGCACACGCGGTAGCTGCAGCCCTGGCACACGGCCCCGCGGTTCAGCACCAGGCCCAGGGCCCTCTGGCAGCGTGCACAGCACTTCTCCCGGTATTCCCGGCTCGAGCTCTTTGCCCCTTTCCACCGAAGATGCTGCAAGTGTGTTTTCAGTTTCCTGCAACCCAGGGAGTTGAATAAGGATTGGGTGGCATGAGGGTTGGCTTTAACTGCCAACTTGGCGCAGCCTTGAGTCACCTGGGAAGAGCCTCGACAAGGATTGTGTACACCGGGTTGACCTGTGGACCTACCTGTGGGAGGTGTCTGAAGTTAATTGATGTGGAAAGAACCAGCCCGCTGTGGGCGGCACCATCCCCTAGGCAGGGGCACACTGTATGAGAATGGGCAAATGGAGCTGGGCGGGCAAGCAAGCACACACGCACGCATTGGTTGCTCTCTGCTCTTGGCTGTGGATGGTGTGACAAGCTGCTTGAACTTCCTACCTGGACTTCTCCCACAATAATGGGTAGTAACCCGGGATCATAGGATAAAATAAACCTCTTTCTCCCCTAAGCTGCTTTTTGGTCCGGGTAATTTATCATAGCAACATAAATAAAACTAAGACAAACATGGACAGCGGACTACAGACAGGGACCTCCACAGACCTGCCATATAAGGCAAAGGGCTTTGGTATCTGACAAGGCTGTATGAGATGGTCTCTCGACTCGGGGTTTTCTGTGAAACATCGCCTTATCTCCCATGGTGGCTGTGAGGATTACATGACAAAAGATGGCAGTTTGTGATCTGCTCGCCCTTTCAGAACAGGACCTTCCTCACCAGTATCCATGGACTCTGTTACTATTCCAACTACTGTCTCTTTAAATCACCAAAGAGATTTGAACCATTTAGTCGTTTTCCCGGCCTATTATTATTTCAATGAATTAGAGTTTACAAGTATATTTAAGGGGGGTTGAAATAAAGGAGGGAACAGGTGTGGTGACACACACACTCCTCCCTTTTTATTTTATTTAGTTTTTTTCAAGACAGGTTTCTCTGTGTAGCTTTGGAGCCTCTCCTGGAACTCACTCTGTGGACCAGGCTAGCCTCGAACTCACAGAGATCCGCCTGGCTCTGCCTCCCAAGTGCTGGGATTAAAGGCGTGCGCCACCACCGCCCGGCTTATACACCCCTCAGCATTTGGAACACAGAAGTACACAGAGGCAGGCAGATCTCTGTGAGTTCAAAGTCAGTCTGGTCTACACAGGGAGTTCCAGGGCAGCCAGGGCTGAGATCTCGTCTCAGATAGAGAGATAGATAAATGAATGAGTAAAGAAATAAAGGAGCATGGAAAAAGACCTTTGTATCTTTGGTTAATCACACAATTTCCCTCCCTCTTCAAACATTTGACTTTACATGTGTGGTGTTTTTCTGTGCATATGGGTGTTTTCACCTGCATGGATGTCAGAACATCACGGGCTTGCAGTGCCTGTGGCGGCCAGAAGAGGGCATCGGGTTCCCCGAGACTGAAGTTACAAAGGGTTGTAAACTACCATATTGGGAATGGAACCCTAGTCCTCCGGAAGAGCAGTCAGTGCTCTTAACTGCTAAGTCATCTCTCTAGTGACTCCGAGAAAAGTTCTCCTCTTAAAAACATTGGCTTGTCCCCTCCTTGGTGTTAGGAGTGACCGCAGGGTTTCTTAGGCACTAAGCAAATGCTCGATCATTCATCTGCTTACTTTCAAACATGCCTAATAGCTAAAAGGTGATCTTGAACTGTCTTTTTTTAATTAAAAAATATTTCGATTTCTTTCAATTTTATGTGTATGAGTGTTTTGTCTGTATGCATATGTGCACCACATGAGTGCCTGGTTCCCACAGAGGCCAGAGAGGGCATTGGATCCCCCTGGAATGGAGTTACAGATGGTTGTAACTGAAATTGAACCCAGGGTCTCTGCAAGATCAAAAAGTGCCCTTAACGGCTGAGCCATCTCCCGAGCCCTGACCTTGAACCCCTTAATCCTCCCGTTTCTACCTCCCGGGTACTGAGATTTCAGGTGTGCCCATGAACTCTGAAAAACAAGCCATGTATTTACAGAGGGAAAGCTCCCACAGCTAACAGTGGGCGGTTCTGCCGTCCAGAGCCGCCAGGACGTGCAACCTCAGACCAAGCAGCCAGGCCAGAAAAGAAGCTTCTGTTGATAGAGGGGCCAGGGAACAGGCTAAGCAGGTTCACCCTACTTCCAAGCCAGGCGCAAGGCAAACGTGAACAAAGAGAAAAGGCAGAAATGGATTCCACCGGTTTTCTGTTTCTGACCCTCCTTCTTTGTGCCTCCAGGTACCACGGAAAACACCGGAGGGGGCTTAACTGGAAGTTTTCCCTTGAGGGGGCTGCCAGAAGCCTGCCGGTGCGCCTCTATTATTCTCACAAAGTGGGCAAGCGCACAAGGAGCAAATATCACAAAGGCACCCTTTCCAAAGAATTGTGGAATTAATTTAGTTCTATTGCGAAAACAATCCTCGCCCCCACCCCTTCACTGGGACCCTTCTGGGTTAGACGGTCAGCCCGGAGCTAGCAGTCGCAAGGACGCCGACGAGCCATGGCTACAAACAGAAAAAGCCAAACCCCATAGGACCGCCCCAGGTCGAAGCACGGCTTACCGGACCCTTTCCTCTTCCATGCTTTGAACAGCCTGATCTCGGTAGAGGACCCCGAGAATGACCTCCCGTTCCAACTCCTTGAAGGACTCCAGGTCCACTTCATGGGCCATTTCCTCTCCCCGAGACGGACAGAAGAGATCCACCGTCCTGTGGAGACGCCGGAGTCCAGCTGCTTCCCTCGATCCTGCAGGAGCGAGGCCCCTCTCTGGTTTCACCAGGGACCGTGTTTGACTTGGGACTCTCGCTTCCTTCCGAACTGGGTCATACTCCCTCGGAGAAGCAAGCTCCGCGAGGCCGCCCCACGGCCACCCGAGGGGTGTTTTCACTGGGCTCTGCCTGATGAGACAAGAGCGTATCTTTTTCTGAGGTTTTGCCAGAGATTGTTATAAATGATGCATGGTTGCTGAGCAGATAATTTCTGTAAAGCGCGAGTGATCTCCACCCTGAGGAAGTTCACAAATAGCAAGGGGAGAGCAAACTTTCTCCAGAAAAAAAAAAAAAAAAAAAAAATGTGTCCAGGTCAGCAGAAGCGACAAGCAAAAGTCAAGCCTGTTTGAAGCCTTAAAACCTGTTGGAAAAGACAAAGAATAAACAAAACCAGCATTAGTGGCCCTGGCCCAGCACCTCTGTGGCATCACTTCTGAGGACACAGCTTTGCATTTTAGGCTGCGATTCAAACGTTATTAAAGAAGACATCTTTCCAACACTTCTTATAATTTCCACACTTGGATTTTCCTACCAAGAATGCTGGATCTTCAGCTGTGAGAGGACAAGGAGCCCGGTTTGATGTCCCAAGAGATGGGCAATGATTCTGTCACCACAAACATTCGAGTTCACCAATTCAGTTACAGAGACCCAGGTGGTCTAGCCTGCTGCACACCAGGCTATCTGGATGTGTGTATGATATAGCTCACTGCCCCTGGAGTGATGAACAAGACCATACAAGATCAGATCAAGCACAGAGAAAATGAGGCAACCAGAGGCGTGAAGGGTACGTGTCCGAGCAACAAAACCCGGCAGACTACCTGGCGGCGAGTTTCTTTTAAAAGTAGACGACAAACCTGATGGAACACATTTTATAATATGGAGGCCACAGAGTGAACTGTTTGCCTTGGAAGGAGGAGGGTCCAAGTGCAATCCCAGAACCCACGGAGAAGTGCTGGGCACGGAGGAGGCTTGCTCTTCTAACCCAAGTGTTGGGGAGGCGGAGACAGGCAGATCCCTCCGGCTTGTTGCTCAGCGAACTTAGCCAAATGACTGGTTCCAGGCCAGTCAAGGACCCTGTCTTTTAAAAAAAAAACCAAACCAAGGTGTGTGGTCTGAGGGACAACAGCTGGGGTTGTCACCTGGCTTCTATAAGTGTGTTCCTGCACACACAGGAGCAAATATACATCACACACACACACACACACACACACACACACACACACTAAAAATGTGGTGTGGTGGGGCTGTGGAGATGACTCAGTGGTTAGGAGCACTTAAATTGTTCCCAGCACCCACACTGGGTAACTCACAACTGCCTGTAACTCCAGCTCCAGGGAATCCAAAGCTTTCTTCCAGCCTTTGTGGGCATTCCCATGCACAAACACACACTCACACAGAATTAAAATAAAAGTAAAAAAAAATACTATGTTCAACGCATGAACATGTACCATGTTCATTTATCAAGTATCGTCCACGCACATATAGTATGTGCTATCCCAGCCAACGCTCTTATCAAAACCATCACAAAAATACTGAACAAGGCAAGAATTTCCCATCTCAGAAATAATCTTATTGGGCCATTATATATATATATATATATATATATATATATATATATATATATATATACACATATATATATATATTATATATTAATATATATATGTTATATAATTGCTGACTGAAGCGTCTTTACTGAGCACATGGCAAACTTTACATCATCTTAATTGAAAATACATTAGAAGGAAGGACGGCCTCAGCTCTTGGCTATTATTTTTACAAGTATTGTCAAAACTCAAAAAAAATGTAACCAATTAGGGGAATGTGAGTAACTACAGCAACCTCAACTTATCAATTATTTATGTCCTGTAATAGCACCATGAGCATCATTAGGCATCAGGCCTTGTTTCTGTTTAGTTCAAGTCAAAAGATTCTGCATTCATCCATCTAGTAAGAACACATAGATGGTTCAAGCAGTATGCTTTCTGTAATGCCATTTTAATTTTCCAGCCTAGTGGACCCCTTAGTAATAAGGAGTCCTTTTGGTACTTTGGCAGCTACACCCCTTTTAAATTCATGAATGATAAGCAACAGACACTATGGCATCCTTCTCTCTCAACAAATGCTCTTAACTCTTCTTCATCAGTAGTCTGGGGAGGTCTCTGTATCTCAATGCATAAAATAAAGTACATTGGGTTATAAAAGAAATTCAAAAATTGTTACATAGTAGTGTGTGTATATATTAATACATGAGATAATTAAGGTCTGGCAGTTATTTAATGAGTAGCATAATGTCAAAGTGGCAATGATATAAACAATGCTTTGAGATATCTATGGCACATGGCGTCATAGGAAAATACTTGTGATTTCTATTGGGAACAAGGTTACAGGTTTGGCTGATTTTACCTTGGCTTTTTCTTATATTCATAATAGAAGAAAATGCTAAATTTTAGTTAAAGATTAGTGGAACTAGGGTCTGGAGAGGTTTCTCAGTGGTTAAGAGCACTGACTGCTCCTCCAGATGACCAGAGTTGGATTCCAACACCCACATTATGACTTACAGCTAATCCCAGGGGATCCAACACCCTCTTCTGACATCTGAGGGTGCACACAAGTGGTGTGCAAATATACCCATACATTATAGAAAACAAAACAAAACACATTTTTCAAAAAGATTAAAGAAAATAAAGATATGCTTCCCCTAGACCAAGTTTATGGGCCTTGTAGGCTGAGGACTGTGGCCTGTGTTTGTTGGGTTCTCCAATGTAAGATGAAGTTAACGTAACAATTGTGGGGGTTCCATGGACTGGAAAAGTTAGAGGTCTGAAAAGGGGATGCTTGGCCTCAGGCCCCTAGTAAAGTACCCTTAGGTACCTTATCTTAGGGTTTCTATTGCTGTGAAGAGACACCATGGCTATGGAAACTCTTAGAAAGGAAAACATTTAATTGGGCTGGCTTGCTTACAGTTCACAGGTTCAGTCCATTATCATTATGATTGGGAGCATTGTGATGTGCAGGCAGATGTGGTGCTGAAGTAGCTGAGAGTACTACATCTTGCAGGCCACAGGAAGTGGTCTGAGACACTGGGTGGTATCCTGAGCACAGGAAACCTCAAAGCCCACCCCTACAGTGACACACTTCCTCTAACAAGGCCACACCCACTCCGACAAAGCCACACCTCCTAATAGTGCCACTCCCTATGAGATTATGGCGGCCAATTACATTCAAGCTACCACATTCCAAAGTAGTTGGTACCAGGGACTAGGGTAGATCTGACCATGTTTTTGTTTGGAGTAATACGGACTTTGGGACTGTGGAATAGAAACACTGTTGAAAGTGCTGCTTAATGGACCAGACTAATAGGAGCAGGGAAGACAGTGGTACTGAGGGTGATTTGAACTGTCAGGGGCTCGCTCAGAGGTTTCAGAGGAGACGACTTTTAGTATGTTGCCTAGAAATCATTCTTGTGATATTTTGGTGAAGAATGTGACTACTTTTTGCCCTTGTCCAAAGAGTCCGCCTGAGGCTGAAGTGAGGAGTTTTAGATTATAATTCTCTTGGCAGAGGAAATCTCAAACAAGCTAGTATAGACTCTGTGGTGTGGTTATTAGTGTTAACTCTGATGAAGATTTATAATGAAAAGGAGAGAGCTGAGCAAGGAAACATATTTGAAGAGAAAAAGAGCACCAGAAAGTGGACTGGAGCTAAACCCTGTGTTCAAGGAGATAAACAGATTAAGAAATGGAACAAATGTAGTAGTGACCTCAGGGCAAGATCTCACCCAGTTAAGCTTCCAACTTGTGAAAAGGAACTGAAGAAAATTAAAGAAAAGCTTAGAGCTGGATATAGTGGTGCATGCCTTTAATCCCAGCCTGCTCTGGAGATCCAGTTTCAGGACAGCCAAGCTTAGGCAGTGAAGGACAGAAAGCTGGTGAAGGGGTAACTGAACAAGGGGACCATGTTCCAGCCCCAGCAAGCGGCAGAACTTGGCAGCTTCAACCATGTGGTTCTGGCTTTAGAGTCAAGGACAGAAGAAAGGAGTTGTATAGTCTTCCTCCATGCCTAAGGAAAGTCTCTGAGGCCAGGCATGTGTCAGGGGTGTCCCTGAATGGAGGCCCAGAGAGGCTATTGGGTGCAGCTGTGAAGTTGAAACCTGGATTGACTTAGAGATCCCAAGATGTTGGAGATGCCAGAGCTGTGGGATTCCTGCTGAGGAAAGCTGCTAACAGGGAGTGGAACCAGCCCAGGAGAAAGAAGTGTGTTGCAGTCAACAAAGCTGAAAGGAGTTGGAGATCTGAAGAGAGCTTTGACATCAGACATGGAGATGCAGAGGTTGGAGTTTGCCCAGCTGGTTTTCAGTCTTGCTTTGGTCCAGTATTTCCTCACTATGCTCCCTTCCCTATGTTTTGGAACGGTAATGTATATCCTGTGCCATTACATGTTGGAAATGTGTGATCTGTTTATTTTTATTTTATAGGAGATTATAGTTAAGGGATTGCATCAATCTTAGAAGAAACTTGGGACTTTAAAACATTGTTGAGACTGTGATAGATTATGGGGACTTTTGAAATTGGACTAAATGAATTTTGAATTATGATATTGTTACAAGTTTATGGGAGCCCGGGAGTAGAATGTGGTAGTTTTGAATGTAATTGGCCCCCATAATCTCATAGGGAGTGGCACTATTAGGAGGTGTGGCCTCATTGGAGTGGGTGTGGCCTTGTTGGATAAGTGTTCACTGTGGGGATGGGCTTTGAGGTTTCCTATGCTCAAGATACCGCCCAGTCTCTCAGACCATTTTCTGTTGTCTGTAAGATGTAGGACTCTCAGCTACTTCTCCAGCACCACATCTGCCTGCATGCCAGCATGCTCCTCGCCATGATGATAATGGACTGAACCTCTGAAACTGTAAGCGAGTCAAACCCAATTAAATGTTTTCCTTGATAAGAGTTGCCATGGTCATGGTGTCTCTTCATAGCAACAGAAACCCAAACTAAGACATATCTGTTCTGGAAAGGCTTCCTGCCCAGGCAGCAGGAAACAGGACAAGGACTCCATACTCTGGAGCAGCCACCTAACATGTCTCTGTGCCATAGCCTTGGGTCCCCTTGCTCCCATTTTCCAGATGGACAAGTGAACTAGCAGATCTCCGTTACAGAGCTCTGAGTCTCCACAGAAAGGAAATTAATAGAAAAGATTGTGGTGGTGGCTGGGAGATGGCTCAGTCCATAAAGTGTTTGCCTTGCAAGCATGAAGTCCCAGGTTCAATCTTCAGCATTCACGTTAAAAGCCCGATACAGTGGGACAGCTTGTAAACGCAACACTGGGAGGTAGGCAGGACAAGTGGGCTGGCTTAGCCTCATCAGCAAGACCCAGGTCCCAGTGAGAGACCCTGACTCAAAAGACAAAGAGACAGCACCCGAGGAACAGCAACTGAGGATGGCCTCTGGCTTTCACATGCACAAATAACTGACTTGGAGACTTAATATCAATTATAAGTGCTGGGTCAATAGCTCAGGCTTGTTAGTAGCTAACTCTTACATTTAAATTAACCCATATTTCTTATCTATGCTTTGCCATGTGGCTCAAGGCTTGTTACCTCATTTTCTATCCATCCTGCTTCCTCGGTGGCAGCTGGCTGGTGTCCCCCTGACTCGGCCCTTCTTCCCATCATTCTCCTTGATTGGTTGTCCTGCCTATAATTCCTGCCTGGCTCCCACCAATCAGCATTTTATTAAACCAATTTGAGTGGCAAATCTCTACAATGTGCTAGAGAATTATTCCACAGCATTCTCTGGCTTGGGTCTCCAGCTTCTCGGTAAAGCAGGGCCTCAGTGAGTGCAGTCTTGGAAGGATAGCAACAGGGTTTCCACAGGAGGAGCCCATGGGTCCCCAGTGATCACTCAACAGGTGTGTTAAGTCATCTGTGTTTTAGGAATACAACTATTTACAAAACACTACTCTATTCTA